AGGAGGCTTTAAATGAAGGGCTTCTCCTCCTTTGCGAAGCACCGAAAAAGATCGCCTCTCAAGCAGAAAATAAACTTTGTGTTTTGAGTGTTTTGGAGTGTTTTTGAGTGTTTTCAAGTGCTGCTTCTGCGAAGCTTCTGTTAAGCACTACTGCTTTCCCTGCTTCTATGTAAGTTTGTTGAATATTAATGATACTACGTTTGATATCGTATTTAATTTCTCTATATTATTATCCTTGGTTTTGGCTTTGTATGTTTGAATTCCTCATAATAATTATGTTTATTCTCTACGTCTCTACACTACCTTCCGCTCGAAACCTTAAAATTGATTGAGAAAAATTTTGCTCTTAAGAGTCTGGGCTATATATACACATCTTCATAGTAATATTGAGTTCTTGTTTTAGAAAATTAATGAAATACCCATTTCTAGACATAAAACTATAAATATACCCTATACCATTCAATATATATAAACACACCCAAAAAAAACCCAAAACTGACAGATGTTACATTTTTTAGTTTAATTAGATAAATGAAATACCTTTATTACCCATTTAGTATTAAATTAGTTTTTTTGAAAAATTCTGGGTGCTCTCAATCTTGTCTCTCTCCGTTCGAGGAAACCAGGCCGACGATCTTGGTGCTCTGGCTATAGCCAATCGTGAGACCGGTCAGAAAAGGACCGACCAGGGCCGACGATCAAGTCTGGGCTAAAGCCCAGCCACATCAGCCACTCACGACTCCATTATGAGCTCGGAAAGGTCTGTGGATTTTGAGTTTTCTGACGTCGTTTCCGACGACTCTAGCGATTGTTTCCGTCAATCAAGGTATGAAACTTCATTTACTTTTCATGCTTTAGCTGTTTATGTATGTGGATAGGATAGATTTTGGAGTTTTGGAAATTAATCAATACACCCTAGTTTGACCAACGGCTTTGTCAGTGTTTCTGGTTGCTCCGGCCACTTTTGGGCAAGGTCTGAGACCAAAAATTACTCATCTTGTTAGTCTGAACATGTTGGTATAGGTATTGTAGGCAGTTTTGGGAATTTTTAGCGATAGGTTACCGTTTGACTTTGACGGTATGCTCGGTATGTTCGTTTCAAACTCTATCCAGGGTTGTAGGAATGCTAGTAGCATCTTTTTTCTATAATAATGTTAATATGAGAACGTCAAGCGAGACAATTTGAGAGGAAGCAAATTTAACTGTAGATGTTGGCCTGTGCAATTGTAGATCCAATTCTTCTTGATTTTATATGTTTATTTTTGTTATTGTCGATTTGGAGGTAAACTGTTGGCTTTTCTGATTTCGTTCTAATTTGTATTTAGATATTCGTTTGAGTTTTAAATTGTGATTTTAGTTTCTTTTTGTTTATAATTTAGATTGATTTCATATTAGGTTTGGTTGTGGATTTGCTCTTGTGTTTTGGTTTGAGTTGTGGTTACAAATTTGTGATATTTGATTCGGTTATCATATTAATTGAGGTATGTTTTTTCAATTGAATTTGACTATATTCATGTTTTTTCTGTTTATGCACTATTGGTTTTTGAGTTGACTTAATTTGCTGTTAGGTAGCAGTGTTATGACTGGAACTTTATAGACATGAATTAGAAATAGGATTTCATAGGAAACAAGCAGTGTTATTACCCTGTACTGGAACTTTATAGTGGTAGACAAGCATTCAAAATAGGATTTCATAGGAAATAAGCAGTGTTATTACCATATACTGGAACTTTACAGTGGTAGACATGCATTCGAAATAGGATTTTAGAGGAAACAAGTAGTGTTATTACCCTATACTGGAGCTTTACAATCATTAATCAATATGACAGTAAACTAGCAGTGTTAAGAATGGGTATATGACTAAATATCTCTTTCTTTTTTGAGTTGCTGAAAATCGACTATTTTATAGTCCTGTGCAATCAGTTCAATAATGAAAATTCATATAGTTTCAAGATTTTGTCCTAGATTCGAATCTAAAATAATGTTATTACCATATACTGGAACTTTACAGTGTTAGATATGCATTAGAAATAGGATTTCATAGGAAACTAGGAGTGTTATTACCCTAGACTGAAACTTTACAGTAGTCGACATGCATTAGAAATAGGATTCCATAGGAAACAAGCAGTGTTATTACCCTATACTGAAACTTTACAGCCATTAATTAATATGACAGTAAATTAGCAGTGTTAAGAATTTGTATGACTAAATATCTCTTTCTGTTTCGAGTTGCTGAAAACCGACTATTTTATAGACCTATGCAGTCAATCCAATAGTGAAAATCCAATATAGTTGTTTTGAGTTGCTGAAAATCGACTATTTTATAGTCCTATGCAATCATTTCAATAATGAAAATCCAATATAGTTTCAAGATTTTGTCCTAGATTCAAATCTAAAATACTGTTATTACCCTATACTGGAACTTTACAGTGGTAGATATGCATTATAATTAGGATTTCATAGGAAATTAGGAGTGTTATTACCCTAGACTGAAACTTTACAGTAGTCGACATGCATTAGAAATAAGATTCCATAGGAAATAAGCAGTGTTATTACCCTCTACTGGAACTTTACAACCATTAATCAACATGACAGTAAACTAACAGTGTTAAGAATCTATATGACTAAATATCTCTTTTTGTTTCAAGTTGCTGAAAACCGACTATTTTATAGTCCTATGTAGTCAATCCGATAGTGAAAATCCAATATAGTTTCAAGATTTTGTCTTGGAGTCGAATCTAAAATACTGTTATTACCCTACACTGTAACTTTACAGCAATTAATCAACATTACAATAAAGGTTTGGTTTTTAAATGTCTTACTTTTGAAGCCTTTTCTTGTTGAAATTGTTCTTTGAAATTTTGTCTTTATTTTGTAGGTGGAGGTTTGTTGGCGCTAAATCTGAACAGATAGAGATGAGTGCAACTTACAAGAGATGTGGACGATCTAGGAGATCGATTGAGTTGTAAATGGAGATTCCTCCTGTCTTCAGATGCTGATCCTGAATAGAAGATAAGCGAAGCTCGTGAGGTCTATGGAACCGGTGTGGAACCAGCCTAAGACCCTCCGATGCTCAAGTAAGATTGTTTTTAAGAGCTCTTGCTGTTGACCATATAGAAGTATAAAAGTCAAGCTGAAAAGTCTTACCCCTTTGTTGATGGTGAAGGGGTGTATTTATAGAGGGCATTTGGGATGCTTGTGGTGTTCATTTCCGATGTGGGACTCGTGGGAGGGCCCTGTGAGGTTGACACGAGTCCTTAGATATTTCGGGCGGGTGCTTCAAGGCT